GTATCATCGGGAACCACTATTATTTGTAAGTACCGAATTTTGCCTCTAAATTTTACTGCACACAACACTGTACCAAACGAATATATTCGGTGCCGGCCAACAYYAGTGAAATTTGTAAGATATTGATTGATTGATAATAGAGCGCCTTGCGGGGCGCTTGACCGTTGGATTAAGCTAATGGGACTGCCGGAATCAAGAAGGGAAAACATTTCTTTAAAACCTGTGTCTCCGATTCGATAATATCTGCATAAAGCCACACTTACCCATTGTTTAAATTCTACATGGTCATCATCATCAGCATCTCCTTCCAGCACAGCGGCTACTTGAACTGGTCGATTTTTCTTCCTAGGGCAGTTGCTATGTTGGTGCCCCATTTGAAGGCAGGTAAAGCATGATCCTGGCGGTCTAGTTGGTTTTGGGCAGCTGCTCTGGTAGTGTCCAAATTGGGAGCAATTATAGCAGCGAATTCGCGTTGATTCTTCGGCGGTAGGAGTAGTAGACTYCGGGGCCCCGGCAAGCATGGCAAATTGGGCGGGGGACCTAGGTRGTGGATGCGTCGCTCGCCGCTGCTCGTAGCGATCCATGCSCYTMACCAACTCCTTAATGGAGTTAGCACCATATAAGATAGAAATGTTGTTGCTGCTGTCGGGAATACCGTCGATGATGATGTCCACGAGTTCTTCTTCTTCTATGCTAATTCTGGAAGCGATGGACTGCATGGCCACCACATAAGCGATACATGTTTCGGACGGTTTCAATCRCCGGGCACGCAACTGTCTGTAAATTTCTTGCCTGGTGGCGGTGCGCTGGAACATAGTTTGTAGCAAAGATYTTAAACTGTCATAATTGGCGAGGCCGTGATTAAGGGTACACTCTTTAGCTGTTCCAGTCATACACCGCCGTAAAGCCAGGCACTTCTGTCKCTCACCGAGGTTGTTCGCTTCGGTATAATCCTCAAACTGGACGAGCCACTTATTGACGTCACGGTGGTCGTCTCCACTGAATTTAGGCACAGCGGMTTMGAGCTCATCGGTATTTATATAATTTTTCGATGGTTCGTGATAATTTTTTTTCCCAAGCTCAGCTATTTCGCGGCGTAGTTTTAGGATTCGGAGTTGTTCTTCTAGTCGCTCTGCTTCTAGGCCTAATAATGTGACACTTTCAGATAGTGGTTCGATCTCTGCTGCGGCTGACGCAGGAGCAGGACAAATATCGGGCCTTATGGTATTCGTTTCGGCGGTAGCGACAGCAGTTTTGGCGGCGATGGCCCCGGATTCATCAATGCGAGCAGCGGACGTTTTTTCAGCGGTGGTGGCAGCAGTTACAGCAACGGTGGCGTCGGGAGCGCTAGTTTGAGCAGCGGTGGTGGCAGCGGCTATGGCGGCGGTGGCTTCGGAAGCACCAGTTTGAGTAGCAGTGGTGGCAGCAGTTAGGGCAGCGGTAGCGTCGGSAGCACCGATTCGGGCAGTAATATTTGTTACTGCGGCTTTGTTGCCCTTACTTGATCTCATTTTCTTATTTTCTTTCTTTGGATGGCTGTGGATACAACCCCACACCTGAGATATAATAATTACACGTTTTGTTCTTCTCGCTTGCTAAAAGGCAAAGTGAATAATGTCGGATGTTTTACAAAATGGTTACCGGCTCTTTTTTTGACAGGTCACCGGGTACTTCATATACATACATTTCATTTCTATTATACAATGGGTGGTTCAGATAACTTATAATTAACTTAATGTTTACAGTTGAAATCCTAAATTCTTTTGTTGTGTATTGAAAGGTCAAAAGTCAGTTGTTTTAACATAGTCTAAAAATATTTAAATAGTTTCGACTTCCATATCTTCTTCTCTTTATTGGCGTAGACATTTACCGAATACCAGTTTGTTTCGGTTGCCGCTCTACGTAAAGGAATTCTGTCCCACAGTTCCCTCATACCGAGTTGTTGACGATTGCTCTCAGAGGGCATGAGTGCAACTCGAGTACAAAATTGTTCGGCTATCTGTTATAATTGCCGCTTCTCGACGTCGAATCTTCTTTGTGTTTGATGGCGTGCGTTTTTTGCTGCACAAAGGTGCGTGCGAATCTTGGTTGCAACAAGATAGTGGTCCGAGTCGATGTTAGGGCCTCGGAGCGTACGCGTGTCTAGAGCACTGGAGACAGCTAGGTGTCTTGATGTATTTTCTTGTGCTGAAAACTAGAACCATAGATAACCATATTTCTGGCCCCGACGAAGTCGATCAGCCTCAACCCATTTGGGGATGTTTCGTCGTGGAGGCTGAATTTACCGATCGTAGTGCCAAAGATATCTTCTTTGCCCACCCTGGCGTTAAAGTTGCCAACCACGATTTTGACATCGTGGCAGTGCAGCTCTGATAGGTGCGCTTCAAGCGCTCATATAAGGCATATTTGGTCAGATCATCCTTCTCTTCTGTCGGGAAGTGGGCGCAAATCAACGGTATTTTGAAGAACCTCACTTTGATGCGGATTGTGACCATCAACGGGGGTGACTGATAGTACTCGGCAGTTTAGTTTCTCTCCAACCACGAATCCCACACCAAATTTGCGCTCCTTTTTATGATTACCGTAGATATTATAATTTTCAAAGTAATATCATATGGACCTTGACTTTTCCTTTCCAAAATAATAACGGATATTGCTTCGTATCTGATTTCAATCTCTCCAAAGTCACTTTAAACAAATTCAACAACTGATTCTCCTCGTGCAATAAATTCTGCAGTCCGACAACAATATTCTTTCTTATGATCTGTGCTATTTCATTACGCCGATTAATTACAAGGTCATTCTTAAAGTAAACAGAACTTTTTAAATTCAACGCCTCCTGCTGCTTTATATGTCGCTTGGTACGTTAGAATCTGCTATCTTTATCGATTGTCCTGTGAAAATTTCATTACATTTCATTGATTGGAAGTGAAGTTATTTCGTTTCAGGTGTCAGTTTGTTTGTGTTATCAGTGCGAAAATGAGCTTCGAACAAAGAGCCAACATTAAATTTTGTTTTAAAATTGGTAAAACTTTTACCGAAACGTTTCAATTGATGAAACGAGTTTATGGCGATGATTGCCTATCCTGTAGCAGAGTGCACGAGTCGTTTCAATGTTTTCAGAGTGGCCGTGAGAACATAAATCACGATCAACATGTGGGCCAATCAATTAAAATCCTCGATCACCAGACATTCCATCGAAACTGTGCGTGAATTCATCAAWAATCAGTCGAAATCGTCATTGAAGTTCATGGAAATGGACTTGATACATCTCCAAAACATCGATTCATCGCGGTTTGGTCGAACATTTGGTGCTTAAAGAAGGTGTGTGCACTGTTTGTTCCGCATAAAATGACTGACGACCAAAAATTGCTCTGAAGGGTGGTGATGATATATGATCCTGTAACGAAACGCCAGAGTGCTGAATGGAAGGCACCGGACGAGTCGAAACCCAACAGATCGCGCATGGAGAAGTCAAAAGTGAGGAGAATGCTGATTTGTTTTTATGATTCCAAGGGTATTGTCTACAAAGAATTTGTTCCACGCAGTCAAAACGTTAGTCCGGTATTCTAATTTGGAGTTTTGAAGAGTTTAGTGCACCGTATTCGATAAATTTTTTTTTGCCCATGAAAGGTGATTTTGTGGATGCCCAACTTAGTGGGAGGCACACAACTCCGTCACTTACACTCGCGCTATATTCTATTTATGCGRGTGAAAATGTGGTAGATCTCAGATAGATTATATGAACATTTTATTTTTTATAACAAATTACAATTACAATTAATTTATGATATATAAATTAATGGTCCCCGAGGGTAATGAAGCGATTTGTCGATTGGTAGTTAATAGGTTAATTATAGCGCGAGTTATATGTACATACATGTACATATATACATATATAAATATATATAAATAATAACTTACAAACATACTTATCACTATACTTACTATACTGTATATACTTACACATAATTACTTAAATATAAACATACATATAYGTACATTCATGTGAGGAACACAATGCTCGCGACAGACTGCAGCCGCACGACAGTGAACTGAAAACGGCGTTGTGAATCCTACTACATGAACGTTTGTGAGAGGGCAGCAACATAACAATGGCCGGCATGTAAACAAAACAACGCAGTTGTAAATTTTGCATGTACACAATTTCGTTGTGACCATACTAATACCTTGCACTTCAATGAAATTTTAATATTTTGTTCAAAGTGAAATTTTTAAGCAAAATATAAGTAAATAGATAAATTTATTTGTTTTAAATTWACAATTGTTATTATAAATGATGTAACAGAGCTMTTTTATGCTTTTATTTGTAAAATAACCTCTGGTTTGTTAGAGCTTTGAGTAATATTACATTTTATATATTAGTGGCATCACCACTCTACCTCATCTCTCTATCTACCATTCTACTGTCAACTCTACTGTCGTCCTACCGTCGTTGGCAAATATAGGATAAAATTGAAGTTAGCGAGAACGACAACTGTCGGCCTGCCGTCGTGTAGTCGTACAGCTGTCAAAATAGGTCCGTCCATAAGAAAGTGTGTATTTTAATATTTGACAGATGTCGTTTGCAGTCTGTCGCGAGCATTGTATTCCACACAACACGGCTAGACGAAAACCAATAACTTGTAAACAAATGAGATGTTAAAACATGTAATACAAAATAATGCAACAACAAACAATGAAGACACTTGTCAGTCAACAASATGTGCAGCAACAATGCTGTGATAAAGTAACATCCATCGGCGATCAGGATAACCGCCAAATCCCCTGACAAATGTCTGTAGCTAATGTTGTTGTTGTCATAGCAGTAATGATCAAACMAAGGAGTGACCGTTAAATGGTCCGATTAAGCAAGCAACTAATTGTAAGGATAGCGGATATAAAATATTTGTTTACTCACTACTATAAATAGGCTAAGCAGTTAGAAATAAGACGAGTTCAAGTTTCGGATGTTACTGAATAAAGACATATTATTCTTACTTGCAGTTCATTGGAATTATTTTTATTTAACTCGCGCGAGATTGGTGTCCAAAAACGGCTGTTGATCGTAGCGACATATAAAATCGAATGTAGATTTGCGAACTCTATGTGACGAATGTGTATCATCGAAAAGTTTTGAACTTGCTCAGTGGACCATCTTCTTCT